ACACGATGTATAGTTGTTTTGCCTTCCTAATCGACATGGTGGCATGGCCTAACCTCTGACCGGTGGAGGTTGAGGTAAGTAAGAAGAGTCACAAAACTGTAACTGACCCCTATTCGGACCGTGATGCCATATTTAAAAGTAAGCCAAGTTTCTAATCAGGAAAAGATTCTTTAAAAGGACCTGGACTTCTGCTGGATTTCTGCTTTGTCCGCTACATCCTTCTCGATTAACGTCTCCAAGTTTTTTAACATCGCCGATCGCATAGGACATTTCTTGATAGTGGAATAAGGATTCTCTTCTTCCTCGACATCAGATTCATGAGTGTGACTGGCTGTAGCAGCGGCTTGCTGGGCATGCGAAAGTTGCAGTTGTGACAGCCTGTAATGAGTTATCTATCGAATCTGAACCTAAGACTTAATTTTCAACAAAGACTCGTGGTTCTGTTGAAAGCTCATTTTTAAAGGTAGTCACTGATTACTGAGAGTTTAGCCAAACGTTGGCGTTGACTTTGTGTATACAGTGTTTTCCCTTCAGAGGCTTGCTCTGCTTCTAGCTTGAAAGTGATGCATGGCGCGTCTTGGAGCCAAGCTGGCTTGGCTATCCTTCCCCCATCCCATTTTTTCATCACAAGTGCCAGTTTCTATATTCACTATATATTTTTCCGGTTTTTGTATATCCTTATGATTGGATTGCACTTCCTATTTAATTACAGTCAGCTTTCGTTTGTTATTTCTACGATCTTATGTCAGTTTGATAAGTTTGTTCCTGCACCTAATTTACTCTTCATGTTATTCAACCAGTCCTAGGGTTCTCGCAGGGAGAGATGCATGGCGTATACCGAGCACCTTGTGCTACCTGCTGAACTCTATCGGTAGCTCTCTTTGTGGGAGCTACAAAGTGATAGACCTTATTTAGGAAAATAGAATTCTCTTCTGAAAAGCAAAAATGGTGCTGAGATTGGGAGGAAGGAACTGTCGCACTCCAACATTCTTAGATTCTCTGACTAACTGCCTATGGCTCTTCTGTAACCCTTCTAGCCAGGAATTAATACTTGAAATTACCTTAGTGATTATAATTCACAAATGATGGAGGAGTCAATTCAATCAAAAATTCTTGGTGCTCTTTACGAAGATGCCATACATGGCGCATCCCAGGACCATCGTGAAGCACAGGATTCTCAACACCCCTCATTTCCAGCAAGATTTCTCCCCACCTGTGATAGCACCGCATTCAGAGTGAATTCACCAAAATCGCTCGTTTTCAGACCACTACTTCTAACCGACCAATCAGTAATTCGATAAATTCGTAATTTTTCTAAAAACTCAGAATAAGCGTTATCACCGCTAGAGCATCGGAGTTGACCACCAAGTATCAAAGGTGGAGCTTCCAGCTCGTTATGGAGTAACTCTTAAATAGCTAGATCTTACCCGAAGGAAAAGCCTCTTCTAACCATCGAGTTTTGCCATTTCTCCAGGAGAAAATCGATTTCGTTCAGCGGCATCGATTGCGCG